AAGATAAGATAATACTTTATTATCCCAGAAGGAAATTTTTCTTGGCTGTACAAGACTGTAAACACACATGCAGGTAAACATACAAAATTTATAAATTATACATTATTCTCATTAAAATCCAATATGAAAAGAGAAGAAAAGTTGACAAAACTAAATGTACATTCACATCAAATGCATCATTCAACCACATGCAGGAATTTAATTACAGGACGTTTGGAGTTACGTAGATACATACAAGAGCAACACACATAAATGCTCATTCTGACAATAGCCTTGATAGATGGTAAAAAAACACTTCTTTTATATCTTTCTTTCTTTGTTTTTGGAGGTACATATCTGCCGCTGCGAGATCTTACAATTTACGTTGAAAGGGGGTGTGATGGGTCGTTTGTAATGCTTTTTTACATCTTTTTTTTATACGTGAGGTGTTATACATTTCACCAATCCTCGTAAAATCATATCTAGAGATCTTGCTGGCTTTCTTAATGGTTCTGTCAAATTTTTCTTTATCTTTCGTAAATACATTTACAGCGTCCCTGTATTCCTTCTTATTTGTTGTTATAAGGCCTTGTAGAGTGGAATTATCCGCAATTTAAAAAAAAAATTAGTTTGATGTTTTTGTTATCAAAAGTACAGTCGTTGGTGAAGAGAGTAAAGAAGATAGAAATGGAGAGGGAAGGTGAGGGGGGAGGGAAGAGCAAGAGAGAGAGGTATACTGAAATCCTAATTCTCTTATCAAACAATGGCGATGAGCCAACGCAACCACTAATCACTGCTTTCATGAAAGCCCATAAGATGCTATATAAATTACAAGCGGAGAAAGTGGGCGACAATCAGAAGATCATAACTCAAAAGGTCTCCCCGCTCTTTACTTGCGAGTACAAAGGGTCCACTGTTCAATCACTTACAACTAAAAACCTTTAAGGCGTTTTCCACCTTCGAATACGATTGACACACCCCACCCCCCAAACAAAAACAAAGGTTTTTCAAATACAAAAAGTAACACCACTGCTTGCTGATAAGAGTACCGCCCACCACCTGTCGTTCGTCAGCACAGAAAGACACCGCCCCCACAAAAATAAATAAATAAGGGAATTAAAAACAAAGCCAAAACCAAGCCAACGACAGACAAAACCAACAAGGAATGCAGTGGCACACTTGAAAGACGAGTAATATCGTTTTATTGTACATATACAGACTTGCTGGCACAAGACCATGTTTCACACTTGCGTGGCATGTATTTGGGGTAACTGCCTGCCAAAATACACCAACAGCTTTTATACCGATGAGATGCTTATGTCGGCAGGTGGTATCATGAAGGACCCCCCCCCCAAAAAAAAAAAAAAACAACAACAAACACACACACAAAAAAACAACAACAAAACAAAAACAAAACCCAACAAGAAAAACAAACAAACAAACAAAACAAAACCAAAGACTACCCCCCCACACACACATTAAAAAAACAAACTCAACGTGCAAGTGTTACAATTTTTTAAAGCCTCACACGTGCATCAGATTTGCCAACATGATGAGAAAAGCTAACAGCAGGATACGTAAGGTTGGGACTTTCCAGACCTCTCGTCGTAACAGACGATAAGAAAAAAAATTACGGGCACACAATGGAGCTCGCACTTAGATCTACACACCTGGCACATTTTGTCCCTTCCCTGGCGATTGTTGGTTAGTTTGAGTAAAGAGAAGCAAATCAACGTTAAGCGCAGGGGAAAAGCAAGACAAACAAATAAGAGAGAGAGAGAGAGAGAGAGA